GATCCAGTATATCGCGAAGAGCATACTCGTAAGATATGCCATTAGAGATTCCTCTCTTGAATACTCCATCATGTCAAATAGCATCGTACGGTAGTACGCATTAACCCATTACTTCGACGAGAGAATACAGGATGTTCTTAGAGCTATAATCATTTTGTAGGATAATTCTGAAATTGCTTTGAAAAAAAAATTGTATTTTTTATTTATTATTTACTTATTTTTATTTATTTATTTGTTCATTATAGTTTGTTACAATTTGCAGCTTGCGTTACTTTCCTTCTGAATGCCGTGAGATCCGAAACTGCACGCGTATCTCTTCTTAAGAATTTCCTCGATAGTTAGATCGCAGGAAGATGTTTCACCTCCGTTTCCGCGGATATAAGAACAGCGCTGGAACTGTGGAATCCGACATTCTCGAAGGTATTTCTCTCCGAGAGACGTCGGCCCTCCGCCGCGGCAATTGATCCTTCGAGACACCAAACGGACAGTACGAAATTTTACGAAAGTTCCGATGTGGAACGAAATTACGAGATTTTTTTCCAGCGGAGCGGAATGGCATGCCGACCTTTTTATAGCACGGTTGATATATGAAACTGAACTGACTCACGGCGAACAACGGACTTTATAAAAATTCTTTTCGCGAGTTGAAAAGTAAAGTGCTCTCGTGACCGCCGCGCCGGCGCGCAAAATCAAATCTGCTGCAGTTAACCGCGAAATTAAAGCGATTACGATAAAAAGTCGCGTTCACCCGTTTAGATTTGCGTCGATTGAACCGTCGCTTGCTCATCGCCTATACCGATATATTCCGCATATTTAAGATGACTCCAGATGTGACATTTCGGCCCTGTCATGTTTACAAATTCCATATATGGCCAAGAATCAGGCGTATCAATCCTTACATATATCTTATCAATCGCCATAAAAATGGCCACATCAAACATTGGTCCAGCATTGGTCCAGCCAAGGCAATGCGCCAATGTTGGTGTACATACATACATCGACCATATATGTCGTCTGGAGCCGGCTTTAGAAACAGCCGCGAGAGCGAAATGAGTTTTGTTTCCTCGGCAGAAGATGAAAAGAGATGGGCGCGCTTGTCACGCTTCGTTCTACTTACTCCGCCAGATTCGTCCGTTTCTACTTAGCGTCTGGCGCTCGCCGTCGCGCACGTTCAAGTTTTTTCCACTGGCATTGCGAGCGACGTGATTCACGCAGCGTTGTCGGCTTATCGTTAGTTTGCTGAACGACGTAAACGCGGCCACTCGCGAAAAAGGAGGATGAAGACTTTCTAGACTAATCTGAACGGGAAACATTTGATCCGGATGCAGTCACTGAGATTTTACGTGTTTCCCACAATTCGCCCGTTTCTATTTTCTGTCGTGAGTTCGTTGCGTATACAATCAAACTTTTCAAGAGAGCAATAAAATTCTGGGAATGTATTAACGAAAATGTATTAACGAAAATAAATGTAATTAATTACATTAAAAAAAATGTAAATTCTCTTCCTGAAACACTTTAAAAATATTATGAAAAATGTTGCGAATGTGATTAATGAATCATTAAGAAATTGACGAATCGAAATGTTCAACGATACATTTTTCGCTAATTGCCAGAAGTGTAGTATGATTATTACACTCCCAATATGATACGTATGAGTCTATTCAATGTTCAAAAATATAACAATCAACATCTGTTTCCAGCCACGAGGATAAAAGCTATATTGTTGGAATTGAAATCGGTGAATTTGTGTACAATATCGCATAAATCCAACAAAACGAAATCTATTGATTTATCTACATGCATATACATTAATCCCACCGATCACGCGCGATTTCGTATATATATATATACGCTTTATTCATAATCAATGTAGCATTAATAAATCACTCTATACTGTTTACAAATTATACCTGTAATATAATCGTGGTATAATGCAAATTTATGCAAAAGCGCGGACTTACTCAATCTCAGATGTTTGTGTTCGTTTTATTGACATTGTAACTCTCATTCATATGACAGGAACTATCGCTTGTCTTACATTATGCATGCACTTAATGCATACCGCTACCGGGATAAGTAGCGGCGTAATTAGCGTGGTGTTAATAGTTTGTACCACTTGTTTGATACAATTCGCTTTCTTCTTCGCCATGTAACTCACATTGCCTCGTTGAAACTCCACTTTGTCGTCTCGCGAGAACAATGGTATAATTTATATGATTCCCTAAAAGCACAAAGTGAATTGCATACAGCGCAACCGTTTCCGTGGGGGGGGGGGGGATTTAATTGCCTCTAGCGGCATAAAATCGACGATAATATTTCAAAAAGCTCGCAACATGCAGCATTACCGAGTTAATAACACGATCATTTGCTGAAATACCTTACAAGAAGGAAGAGAAATTTAAAACGCAGTACGCGCGTGTTTCACGTTTCATCCAAAAAGAATAGTGGAACTCTATGATTTTACGAATCACGAAGAAGATATTGAACGAACAGTTTATTCAGATAATTTGTGTTGTAGTTTTAACTGAGCGAATACACAATAAACTATTTGACAATTATAATGTTTATATAACTATATTACACATATTATATATATAAATTACAATTATACAGTAACTCTATGCCATTTGTCATAAATTTAATTTCAATTTGATAACACGAATGTATATAAAATATTTAAAAATTTAACTAGGTGCAGATGTGAAAATAAAATTTTGTCGGATCATATTAACTTACCACTTATGTAGGACACTCAAGCTGGTTGCTAAAATGTCCAAACTTTTTGCAGCATCGTTCATTACGCTTGAACATAATAATTTTGATAATCCAACAAAATTACTTTCAACTCTGTGTCTAGCTAAATTTTTAGATACCTCAGCAAAATTGTTCTTTCCGCGATACATTTCGAAACTATACGTCTCCAGCAACGTATATTCATGACATATTTCTGGACCGCTTTTTTGAAACTATATTTTCCCTCCATACCTTTGTGCGCACGAGGCGCACCTTGTTTGTCGATGACATACGCAACGCGGCGTACAATAATGAGAAACAACGATCGTTTTTCTGATGGACACATTCTCATATACAGGCGCCCGGGTGTTTCGCGCAACGGCGGGCATTCGCCGCATAACGGAATCGAGGAACATTAAACGGAATAAAATAACGAGCATTTAGCATGGAGGAATGCGTGGCCTCCGACTCCCGGCTCGCCACTTGCTTTGCCGGACAGAATCCACGAAGCTGAAAATCCTCCGGGTATCCCGCACCCAGGCCGCGCGTACGCTACGGTTTCGCGCGTCTATTCTTCGCCCGCTTTGCGGCTCGACGCCGCCGCCACAATATGCGCGCATCCGACGTTACAATAAACGGATGACGAGCAGTATCCCTCGTGTCTGGATCCCGCGGCTACATTGGGCGGAAATTTATACGCTATAAGGCGCACACGCCGAACCTGATGATGGCGGGCGCGCCATACATCCAGCTCGTAACCAGACAGAACGAGCTGGCCGTTAACAGTTGCGTTAAATAAATTTGCACGTTAACGTTTTACTCACCTAAGCATTCGCACATATTTTACGAGAATCGAAAACACGGTTTTTTTTCCAATGTTATAACATGTCGCGACGCAATATTCTCATTCGTTAAAATCCTAACGATAAAAAAACGAAACGACATGAATGTGATATTCCTTAACGATATATTTATAAACTTTTGAGATAGTTGCATACGCGAAACATTTTTGAGATAACGTCTTAAGGTAAAACGATGTTGGCGAACAAATAAGATATGTTGAAGAGAGTACTTTGGAGCTGCCTTTATTCTCCGCCTTTTACACGGTTTTGTCATCGCTCAGCATATTGCAAATTTCCTGACGACGTTGTGGCTGGAAGTTTGCAAGTATTCAACCTTAACAACACACCGTTTCACGCACCTATCCTTCCTGTATTCTATGGCACGACAGGGCCGCTGTAACCGTGTATCCGGCGTTATAATAAACGGTTGATGGGCCTCATCGCTCGCAGCTACAGCTGAATTCCACGCGCTCATTCAACGAAACCCTACCTATTATATAAACTCGCGTTTTTGCAACCACATTCCCCTCGCGCGTTTAACCGGGGGCCCGCAAAAGCAAATATTAAATTCTCGCAAGTTGACGTTTAATTACTTCAAGATATATCTGACGTACTTGCTGCATAAGCGTACAAAATGTCACAAAACCATCGTTACGACAACTTGCTTCTTTTACATGTAGAGAGTGTCGATGCTTTTTTAATTAAAATTTGTTCGTCGACACTTTGTTATTGTCTGTTAATATGAATATTAAATTTTGTACGTACCGTTTAATATTAATTAAAATATGTCAAATTTTTCTCTATGTATTCTTCGATTTTATTTTTTTTTAATTAAAAAATTGTTATATTTATTTGTTCATGTTTCTCGATATTAATGTTTGAACATTTAATATATTTATTAAAAATATCTGCTGATTTTGAAACATAGAATTTCGATAAATCTCTAACTTGGAATGACTGCAGTTTAACACATCTTAACAACATAGCTCTTTTCTGGATGCCACGTAATGATAGCGGCATGGACGCCGAAGGAATTCGCACTCTGTATACTTTCATTTTATGTTGAAATGATACGAGATGCGCAAGAAAATATTATTATAATGTACGAATGTTAATTATTAAAACGTCAACCTTCTAACGAACGTTAAATATATCAAAATGGAGTTAAATTTCTTAGCGATGCAACGCAGTCGTCCAAAAATGAACGAACAAAAGCGCCAAGACCGCAAAGCGAAATCCTGTCGGCGCTCATGATGCCCAGGCACAAAGACGCGTTATTCCGCCGAAAGAAATCCTCATAACGAATGTCACGGGCCGCAGGCCCGACGATTCTCCCGGTCGTCGCCTTTGTGCTTGGGGAAAAATCCGCGCGCGTTAAATCTCATGCTTGTCAACTGACGCCATTCTTCTTCTATCTGCTTCTAGAGCCCGACGCCGCCGCAATACGTGTTCTGGTATCACAATAGCCGGATGATAAACTACGACACCACGCGCGGCAGCGTGACCGTACAAACCGATCCAGGACCAACTCAGAGCCGGCTGACGATTCGCCAGGCAGTGGAGACGGACACGGGCAATTACACGTGCAGCGCCTCCAACACCAAGCCGGCATCGATCTTCGTCTTCGTCACCGAAGGCAAGTATAAGCAGCGTGTTTCGTACAAAGCGAACTTCCTTAATCAATATAACCCGGGTTGCGGTTGTCCCGGCAGTCTCTTAACTACCTTCACCGAAACCCGCGTACCCGTAATGATCCTCGGACGAACGAAACTGTAAGAACTTGCTTCAATATCTGGACAGATATTTTACAGACATTCGATGAACCGTACTCGTATTCAAGCTCCTCCTTGGCTTTATCTTCCTTTTAAGCGAATTTTTGAAAGATTCTCATTGAATATACTTAGCTACATCGAGATATTTAATATTGAAATTGCTGACACTGCGAAGAAAGATTAGGTACATCAATCATGATTTCATCAAGAATGCATCGGCTCTAAAATCGTCAGAAAGCCTGGCCCGAGGGAAGATACGCGATTTCCGGCGGAATTCTCTGAGTCACGCGAAGAAAAGAAAATCCATTCCGAAATTAGAAACGTCGCCGTTCTGATTGAAAGTATTTATTCTCCTCAAATCCAACGTTTTTCTTATATCCACAATTATATATAGTCACACACAGACACATGTAGAGCGAAGAAGTAGAGCTTTAAAATACATATAGATTAAATAGAAAAAGAAAAAGGTCTGATTTTAATTTAACAAATGTACGCGAGAAATATTCTAATAATAATATACATTTTTAAATCAGAGATTTACAACAATGAAAATCGTGTTGTCCACACGGCAACGTAGGAACAAAACATTTTCCAAAAATTGCCTAACGTTCTCGTTTCAATAAAAAAAGTACATTTATTTGACGGCAACATCGCTTCTGTTTCAACACACAACTTTCTTTTTTTTTTCTATGCGACTGTTTCTGTTATTTCCACGTTTTGCGCACATGGGTTGTGCGTGGATAGCGCCGTTATCGCGTATATACGTGCGCGTGTACACGCACGACGACGTGCGTGCGCGTGATGAAAGAGAACGAGAGTCTCATGGTCCTTCGACGATCGATCACTCGCCGCCGTCGACCACCCTATACGATGTGTATATATATATATATAGCGCGATTTAACCCCTTTCTAACGAGGGCTGTGACTGAAGAAGAAGCCCAAGGCTCTTACGGCAAAAAGCGGTCCTCGTCGGCTCCGCGTTGTCGGAAAACCCGCGTGTACTCGCTCCGCGACGATTTTAGCGACGCTCGCAATTTTAGGTCCGCCAGGATCGCCGTGGTAATTGATGTGAAAGGATGAGGACAGAGTCGCGAAAATCTTAATTGGATTACGAGAAACTCGGTCGGCCGGAAGATTTATTATGCGGATATACAAAGAGAGAAAGAGAGAAAGAAAGAGAGGGGAGCGGTGTCTCGACCCGTGCTTTCGCGGACTTTTGATATATATGCATGTCGCTGGTCGCGAAGAAATTGTGGATCTCATACGATCGCAGCCGCTGATTAAACACGGAATATTACGTTCCAATTATATCGAATAAGCGGCGTATAATCGCTTATCCGATTAACGCATTTATCCGCGAAACATGTGTCAAATTTAGCGAGTGAATGGAAGGCGTCTGGTCTCTGTTTGAGAGCAATTTGTTTTTGGCGTGGCGAGAGAGAGAGAGAGAGAGAGAGAGAGAGAGAGAGAGAGAGAGAGAGAGAGAGAAGGAAGAAAAAGTAAATGGAAAAACAATCGTCGTGCATTGTATTCGACTTTAAATTGACGATCCCATTAAATGGATCTGTGATGCTTTACGCGACAGAATAGAGCAGTTTCCGCCGAACGAGAAATCGGTACAGCTCTGGCCTCTTGGCTGGCCGATAGCGCGTGCGCGCGCGCGCGCGGACCGACACGCGAGAAGCGGCGAGTCCATCGCGTGCGTGATAAACCGCTATACGAGCGTCCCTTCTGTTCCGCGAAGTACTAAGCTTTCAGGTTAAATTTTGAAGATATGGACTCCATTACCGCGGCACCGACGCACACCGGGGCCGACGCGAGTGCTCGCGCGTGTGTTGGCGTGTACGTAGCGAGCCGCGCGGCGCGCTGCCCGTAATTCACGGCCCCGGGAACATATGGGGCGACGCCTCGCGCCGTAAATTACGGTAAAAGTGTGCATGCGCCGCGTTTCGGAGGAGACACGTATCGCCGATGAATGTTGCAAATCTGGCGGTCCGCGCGCGCAACGGCGCGCACCATGAATTTTGATATTCGGGAGACAGGAAGAAGGATCCGTGCGCGCGAGCGCACCGCTGTCGCTCTCTTTTTTTTTTTCGTTCGCCTCGTTTGGCAAATTTACGATGGGATCATATCACACTGGGCACTTTCCGGGCGCGATGATATATCGATAGGCCGGGTCAAGGCGGTCCGCGATATTATTAATGACGAGCGATGACGTAACGCGCGCGCGCCTGGCCCGGGACAAATGCGGTCGTCAACGTAGGCGCCGCGACGTCGTGCTATCGTCGAGTCCGCTCACGGTAAGGTCGTGCAATGCCCCGTACTATATATTTAGCAAGCGTTTTTTTTTTTTATACTACCTATTCTTGTACGAGCTATTACGAAATGGTTCTCTTCCTTGCCGTAATTATAAAATAAAATCCGATCACAGAACCATTCATTATGCCTTTACGATTCAAATGATTTCTTGCAAATGAATATTTATCTTAAATTTCATCTAAAATTATGTTATTATATTATTATATTAGACGGCTCGTATAAAATTATACTATTATATTAGACGGCTCGTCTAAAATTATACTATTATATTAGACGGCTCGTCTAAAATTGTACTATTATATTAGACGGCTCGTCTAATATAAATTAGAGATTTTTTTATTTATTATTTAGAGGAACTTTTATGATTACAGAAAGAAAGGAAGATTTATGATTACAAGAATTATTATCTGCTGATTTTAATCGTACTCTGATTGGAAAATTATGAGAAAGATTATTTTAATACAAGTTATTCTGATAGAGGACTGCATGGAATTAAACAGCTTGAAGATTAATACATTCCCTACCGGACTAATTTTCAGTAATTTTCCGTTTAGGCCGTATGTTAATAGGTTTGATTATATCGTATTTCGAACATATATTGCATAATATCTATAAAACTATAAATTCATTATTATTAAAAAAAATGTAACGATGTTTTCAATGTGATAATTGTGTTATATTATGCAAATATTTAAGTATCGATATATTTTAATTTTATGAAATATTTTATAATAATGTAGTGGCGAAAATATCAAATGGCCTGAATATTTTATGAAATATTTTATAATAATGGTACACGTAGTGGAAAATACAGAGCGAAAATAACGGAGCCTGAATGGAAAATACTGCGCGTGTGTGAGGCACATATTATATCCCATGACAGGGAATGCGTTAAGAGATTTCAACAAAGTGAAATCGGGAGGTGACAATAATTTTACTTTTGTTCGACGTAACAAAAGTAAAATTATTCTTTTCGCTCAACGTTGCATGGGCTTTTTAATTTTCATACGTCAGTAACTCCCACGTGGAGTACAAAATTCTTTTCGTATTCGACACAGAAACCTTGTTGAATTACTCGCACGCACCCGACGTCTGCGTACCATTATTATTACGCGAAGCTCGGTCGCGTAACGTCGCGACCAACGACACATATCTATTTCACTCTCGCTCGCGACGCGAGATAGAGGATTAATTATTACGGGCGCGTGATAATGAGATGAAATCTCCGCTAGCTGCACGGGCGCGTTGCCTTTTGACCGAGATTTTTGACCCCATTGCGGGCGAAGCGCCGCGAGGGTCTCTCGACGGACGTGCGTCTCGCGCGTTAATAGCGAATTAATAATAGCGCAGCTCCTGAAGTATAAACTATTCGGTTACTCTATCCGGTTACTCTTGGCACACTATATAGGTAGAACTAGGTAGGACTTGAGCTAGTACAATTATGTTTATGTAAATATTATTTACCCCGCGAGATTATTGCGTGGCCCGATGTTACGACGCGCGGCTGTAATGATAGATCGTCGTAACTACCGGTTAATTATTCCCGGGCCGGTTAACTCACTATTCCGCTCTCGAGTTATTTTGACCCGCGCTCGTATACGGGGGAGAAACGTCGTAAAATCCTTAATGAATATCACAGAAACTTGAGACAGCCGCTCTATTCGGGAAATTTCACGAGCTTTCGCGCGCGACGCGAGAACCGGAAGAGAGAGAGGACAGCTAGGGTGGAAGACTCGGTGTCGCGTATAAATTATCTAAACGCCGCGCAGCGCCGGAGGTAAATTGGCTTAGCGTGGCGATACTAGATCGCAATCTTGTTAAAGACGGGCGGACACACCTTTCCTGCGTCGTGGAAGACAGCATGTTAAACCCAACTTCCAAACTCGACGAAGCCCCGCGGCGATCTACCCCGACCCTCCTCACCAACCAGTTGTCATCAGCTCTTAAACCGGTGTTTGCATTTAACGCGCGTATATTGCGACCTTTGTCTTCTCTCGGTTAACCGTGGGGATCGCTCGTAAACTCTTATTTGAGCTTTTCTGCCAATTATAGCACGTACGAATGGTTCGCCAGGATTCCGACGACGACTTCACCACGGTTGTTCGGTGGACGATAAAAGCGTCATGAACAAAGCCGAGTAGCTCGTCCAATTTTTTTTATAAACGTGACTACTTCGAGCTCTAATTAAATTTTCTTATATACAATATATACACATATACGTAAAATATTTTTTATTTCAATTTTTTTTGTTTTACGTGTTCAACTGAGTTTTTATTATAAATTACCACATCATTGTATCTACGTATATCTATACATACTTATCTATATACATTTTTAATTGAGCTTTTTTTAATAATAAAAAAAATATATATAATTTATTCTTAAGATAAACAAAAGTTTACAAGTAATAGTTAATATTTTAAGTATTTAATAAATTAAATTATTTTTTTGTTTTATTTTCATTTCGATTTAAGTTGCCTCACTTTAAACTTTAAATGCTTGTAACTTTTAAAGCAATGGTTTTAAAAAAGAATGTTTCAGATAA